GCTTAGCATATACCCCAAAAAACAAAAATTTTCTTCGATGAGCCGCTGCATCGGACCCCTGCCTGTGACAACAGGGTGCAAAAGCCCAAAATCATTGAGATTACAATCAACAACAAAGGTGTGTTGATAACCTTGACAAAGTACAGTGTGACACTGCAAGAATGACAGCCCGTTGGCCACTCGTTGTCTTCTACAACATTCTCGACGTGTCTGCATACAACTCTTTTGTCCTATGGTCTGAAATCAAGCCAGCCTGGAATCAGGGAAAGTACAACAAGAGAAGGCTCTTCATGGAGGAGCTTGGGCGACAACTGGTGATACCTCACATCAAGCGACGCAAGGTTATTCCCCGCACGTCAGCCGCTGTCAAATGGTTAAGGAATCCAGCAGGTCTCCTCCAGCTCTACCTCTGCAGCAGCTCCCCCTCTCCCAGTTCCCTCATGCCGACCAGCCTTCCTCGCCCATTACCCAAAGGAGTAGGTGCAAATTCTGCCCTCGCCGAAGTGATTTCAAACATCCAAAATGTGCCAAAATGCAATGCATACATCTGCAAAGATCACGCCATTACTACCTGCCTCGCATGCAAACTGAGGGCTCATTCAGACTAAAAAGTTAGGTTTTGAAGTTGAAAATGTTTTGGAAATGAATTATAACATGTGTTATATGTCAGGTAATAAGTTGGAATAAAGTTGACTGAAAAGTTGAAACAGAGAAGTGATTGTAAATGTATACTGTATGCTTTATAAACAGTCAAACCAGGCGGGGTCATTTTTGACCACAGAGGACAAAAGGTGTGATTATGGGCTGTCATTAATAAAAATAAAATGATTCAAAAACAGCATCCTCACTAAACTTTTACAAATACCACTCAGTGATAAGTCAAATAGTCAAAATAATAATAGGTCAAAATGATTCATAGTTTCATTGTATTTTTTACTTAAAAACAGGGTATACTTTTATGTAAACAAGGTATATTGGCTCTAAATTCCAAAACAAATGAAAAAAATTCTAGTAATGGGTTGAACAGAAGTAAGACTAAAGATGTAACACAGAATTGATTGAAAATGTATACTGAATGCTTTATAAACAGTCAAACCAGGCGGGTCATTTTTGACCCCAGAGGACAAAAGGCGTGAGCCTCATTTTGACTTGTTTTAAGGACATTACATCAACGTTGGATCAGCCTGTAGTGTGGTTTTCCACTTTAATTTTGAGGGTGACTCCAAATCCAGACCTCCAAGGGTTGATACATTTGATTTCCATTGACAATGTTTGTGTAATTTTGTTGTCAGCACATTCAACTATGTAAAGAAAAAAGTATTTAATAAGATTATTACATTCATTCAGATCTAGGATGTGTTATTTTAGTGTTCCCTTTATTTTTTTGAGCAGTGCTGACCCTGCTGAGATTTGACGAGATCGGGCGTATTAAGGCTTGTATGGCCGTAAACCATGGAATGATAGTTGGATATACTATTTCAACTTCATATAACTCAAAAAACTTTGAAGAACTAGAACAGCCATTCCATTTTTAATGGACATTATATCATTAATGTTCTTACAAGAGTATTATGTACATTATGTATTATTCCATCCCCTCTCTTCCCCCTCTGCCTCGGCAGAAGCTAATTGGGGACACTAATAAATACTAAAAAAAAATCTTGCAAGGAGTTGAGTCATTCTCACAAGGAGTTGAGTCAGTCTCAGTAGGCATTAAGTCAGCCTCACTAGGTGTTGCATCAGCCGAAAGTAAGAATTTCCTCAGACTCTTCTTGATCCCTTGTATCCTGTCCTATCCTAACTCCCTTTCCTTTCATCCTTTCTTACCTTCCTTTCCAACTTCCTTTCCTCCTTTACTAGATCACTTTCCTTTCTTCCAATCCTAACTGTTTGCCTTTTTCCTTCTATTCCATCCCCTCTCTTCCCCTATTGTTTTTAGTGAGAGGCCAGTTTTTTAGTGACAGGCCAGTTGGACTTGGACTCAGTGTTACCAACTTAGCGACTTTGTCGCTATATTTAGCGAGTATTCAGAACCCTCTAGCGACACATTTTCAAAAAGCGACTAGCGACAAATCGAGCGACTTTTTCTGGTGTTATTGGAGACTCTGACGTGAAAGCACGTATCGTTCTTACTCTTCTCAACGAGCAACGAGCGCTGCCGTGTCCCAAAGCACTCACAGGCGGCCCAGTCCTCGCACAGCAGTCCCTCCCAGCTGCAGTCAAAGCAGGAGATGTTCACCCCTCCGCGTCCAGACTGCAAATGAATCGCGCATGGGGGAAGCCCCCGCTGGCTGATCCCGCCCTGGCTTACATTCAGGGTGGAATGTAAATGTAAAACAATGAAGCTTTTCCTTTGTCAGTCTTTTTCCTATTGCCATTATTGGGGATTTATTATTCTCCTTAATTGATGGGATGACTAACTTAGAAAGAATGCATTCTTGACTGGGCTAATGTAGGCTGTGACACCTGGCAAGGCTGTGATTGATGTGAAGAGCTGCTTTAGGGGGAAAATTAGATAAGGATGTGTCTTCAAATTCTAGACTATACTGGTTCTTTGTGATCTATGAGTCTTCCTTGGACATAGGAATGATGTCTAAGGGAGCTGGCTCTTCTCACTATGATAGGTTGTTATGATAATCTTGTGCCTGGCTGAAGTGTGTAACAAATGGCGCTGAAGAGATGAGACCAACCCCTGAACCAACGGATTGGCTGAGAAAGTTTAAACCACGCTCAAGTCTTTACTCTAATTGGCCAGCAGAGAAGTGGGAAGTTCCCTCTGTCAGAGTATTTGGGTATTGTTTCTGGAACAATGTGTTAGTTGTCTGGGGTGTTCTGCGAGACATCTCAGAGAGCCCGTATATACGAAACATCATATTTACCATTGAAGGTTTTTGCATTAATTAAAATAACTAGTATACCTTAGAAGTCGTGTTGACCTCTTTTGTTCCTAATACCAGATTTGAATTGACGCGACTTTGACAATTGGTGACCCCGACGCGGTCTGGTAGAAGGGACTTCGCTGGATACTGTCCGGCCCATTTGGTCAACTCTTTAATCGAACCGTGTGTTTCACAAACTGCCCGGGCTTCTAAAAAGGTAAGCAGATACCTGTTGTTAAATAACCAAAGATCTGCACATTGGCTTTATCCAAATTAATTTTGTGAAACACCTGTCTGATGTAAGTGAACTAAATTATGAAATTATTATGAGTAGATAAGCACAATATTGGGACATGCAAACCTTTGCTAAATGTGATGTTTAAAACCATGGTACCAGAGTGTTGATTCTTCCGGCAAGGTCCGCTAAGAGACGGCTATGTTCAGGAGACAATGCTGACATCTACCGGCAAGGTCCGTAATTGCGACATACGGCTAAGGTTCGGAAGATATAGGGAATAATTGGTTTAAGTAATTGCTATCGGCAAGGTTCGTAACTACGACAGTACGACTAGGTTCGAAGAATTACACCGGCAAGGTCCGTAACAACGAGGATACGGCTAAGGTTCGGGAAATTTTAGATATAGGGAATAATTGGTTTAAGTAATTGCTATCGGCAAGGTTCGTAACTACGACAGTACGACTAGGTTCGAAGAATTACACCGGCAAGGTCCGTAACTGAGATACGGCTAGGTTCGGAAAATTTTTGATAAATACTAGCGACTGGCAAGGTCCATAACTTCGAGGATATGGCTAGGTTCAGCGGAGTATTTTTTAAAGATAGTAGAAGAGGCTGTGTGCCCAAATAGATTGTGTGTGGAACATGGGTGTCATTTATGACTGTGTGACATGGGTGTCATTGATGACTGTGTGACATATTTGACTGTATGATATGGATTATGACTGTGTATTGTGAATGAGGGCGATAACTGTGTACTATTTTTGCTGTGTGATAACTGTATACTACGCTTAACTGTGTACCATTTTTGGCTGTGAATACAAATAATATTTTAAAACAGTAAATAATGAGAATTACAAATAGGAAATAAGGTTTAAATTGTGCAAACGTTAACAAAAGACACCCATAGGAGGTACTATAAAAAGTTAAACAGTGCAAGTGTTGTCGTATGCATGAAAGTGTGAATGATAAACCTGTATACCTTGATAGAAAACAAATTGGGAATCAAAAGACGTTTGTGGCTGTCCAAACGGTATAATTTGGGAATAAATGTTGGATTTGTGGTTACTCAAACCATATAACCCGTCAGTAACAATCGAAAACATTAAATGAAAAGTGATGAATGAGTGTGACTTAACTAGAATGTTTGAATTGATATATTTGAAATATTACATTTGGTGTTTGACATAGCATAATACTGCTTTTGAATAGTTGTGTCGAAGCAATTCGGTTTAGTATTTGATTTGACGTTTGATGTTTGACCGTGCAAAATACTGGTTAAACAATTAGACCGAAATAATTCGGTTTATAAACGTGCACCAACTTTAACTAATTAGGTGGGAATTATTTGATTTAAATAAATGGACTGGAGTACTTAGTAACGGCGGAATATTGGAGGCGCGCTGGGACGAGAAGCAGCTCCTCACAGCTCCTCAAAAAGGTAGAGTTGCGAGGGGAGGGGCTGGAGAGAGCGAAAGTGTGGCTTTTGGAGGCAGAAAAGACTGGCAGTTGGCTGGGAACGCATGTGGGTATCTGACGAGAGAATGTTCTAAACTTGCTCACCGAGCGTAGACGTGCGTTGGGTGAGAAAGTAGAGAATGTTTACATTTGCATTTTTGGTAATTTGGCAGGCACTCTTGTCTAGAGCGATTTATGGGAGCAATTGGGGTTGAGTGCCTTGCTCGAGGGCACATCGGCAGATTTTTCGCCTGGTCGGCTCGGGGATTGGAACCGGCGACCTCTCGGTTGTTGGCGCGGCGCTATTGGTCACTAAACTGCCAGCCACCCCATATGAGTTTAAGATTGTGGCGTTGTTGGATAATGTGATGGTGGAATAAACTAAGTAAATGTTGTTTTAGACGTAATGTATAATATAGTACAAAACAAATAGAGGGTTAAATTGAACTAATTATCATGGTAGAGCTAACGTAGTACAGTGAGGGAACTTCATTTTGTGTCAGAGGGTAAAATGAGAAATCATTGTAATATGCTATTGGTGGAAATCTATTTATCATTTCAAGGCATGGAGTAACAATCTGCGTTTATGAGTGTAAATTCCACGGCTGATGTGTTGATTGAATGGGTACGATTAGTATTTGGTTTGGTAATGTTGAATGGACTATTTGTAGCGAGCGTGTTTAGGGGTTAAATAGAAAAACTAACTCATTCAATAGGGAATCAAAGAGAGAGAGAGTTTTTTGCTGAGGTGAAAGCTACTGCGATTTTCATTTGGTGACGTCACTTGCTTTATGAACTGGAAGTAGTTACTTTGAGAGCATCGCAGATGGTGTGGAGTGACTGGCGATGTCCCTGGTTCGAACACAGGTAGGGACAGTAGACAAAGCTTTCGCAGTGGGGCTATATACCAAGATTACTATGTCGATTGAGAAATGTGAAAGGTTTAATTAGATAGCTTAAATAGAAGTATTCTAGAAAAGTCTATGAAAATATGTTATAAGGTTACCATGCGCTCTCCCCGAAGGAGAAAGGGGAG